TCAGTCTCTCCCTGCTTCAGTCACTCCCTGCTTCAGTCTCTCCCTGCTTCAACCTCTCCCTGCTTCAGTCTCTCCCTGCTTCAGCCTCTCCCTGCTTCAGTCTCTCTCCTGCTTCAGTCTCTCCCTGCTTCATCTCTCCCTGCTTCAGTCTCTCCCTGCTTCAGTCCTCCCTGCTCAGTCTCTCCCTCTTTCAGTCCTCCCTGCTTCACCTCTCCCTGCTTCTCTCCCTGCTTCAGCCTCTCCCTGCTTCATCCTCTCCCTGCTTCAACCTCTCCCTGCTTCAGTCTCTCCCTGCTTCAGTCTCTCCCTGCTTCAGCCTCTCCGCTTCAGTCTCTCCCTGCTTCAGTCTCTCCCTGCTTCAGCTCTCCCTGCTTCAGTCTCTCCCTGCTTCAGCCTCTCCCTGCTTCAGTCTCTCCCTGCTTCAGCCTCTCCTGCTTCAGTCTCTCCCTGCTTCAACCTCTCCCTGCTTCAGTCTCTCCCTGCTTCAGCCTCTCCCTGCTTCAGTCTCTCCCTGCTTCAGCCTCTCCCTGCTTCAGTCTCTCCCTGCTTCAGCCTCTCCCTGCTTCAGTCTCTCCCTGCTTCAGCCTCTCCCTGCTTCAGTCTCTCCCTGCTTCAGTCTCTCCTGCTTCAGCCTCTCCCTGCTTCAGTCTCTCCCTGCTTCAGTCTCTCCCTGCTTCAACCTCTCCCGCTCTCTCTCTCTCCTGCTTCAGCTCTCCCTGCTTCAGTCTCTCCCTGCTTCAGTCTCTCCTGCTTCAACCTCTCCCTGCTTCAGTCTGACAGAGATTTAGTCTCTGATTCCCTCTGCTCCGATCTCTTGCCTGTCTCAGTCTCTTCTTCATTACCCTCCCGAGTCAGCCATCTGCCGTGCCCCAGTCTCCCCCCCCCCCTCCTGCTGCCTGCTTCAATCTCTCCGTGCCTCCAAGCCCTTCTTCGATCTCCCTGCTTCCTCGGCTCCCATCTCCTAACGCGGTGGTCCCCCCCCCCCCCCCCCCCCACCGCCTTCATCTCTCCCCCGACCTCTCACCAGCTTCGAGTGAGTCCTTGCCTCTCGACTGCCCCAAGCCACCCTCTCCATCCCGGCTCCCCACGCATCTCGCACCACCACCACCACCACCCCCCTCCCTCCCCTCTCCCTTGCTCATCTCTTACCTCCTGTGCGATCCGGAGCTCTCCGCAGATCCGGTCGCAGCTCAATCAATCGCCCGGTGGCGGCGGGGACCCAGCGACGAAATAACGAAAATACAGTAATAAATAAAGAGCTAAAAAATAAATAACGAGGACGGACCCCACGAAAATAAAGAAAACCCGCGTCGCTCTCTCTCTCTCTCTCTCGCGCTCCCTCCCCCCACACTACCGCCGTCGAATAAATACACGAGAGAGAGAGGGTGGTGGTGGTGGGGGTGGTGGGGGTGGGTGGGTGTGGTGGTGGAACGAAAGAGGCGAGCGAGAGAGAGCGAGAGAGAGAGAGGCGAATGAATGAGCGAGTGGAGGTCAACCATGGCGCGCTCCTCTTTCCAGGAAAACGCGACCACGTGGGTTCGGGTGGTGGGGGTGGGGGGTGGGGGTTACCCGGTGGGGGGAGGGGCGTGTCCGGGCTGTGACGTCGACCACGCGCGTGCGGTGAGGCGTGACCCGTGCGTGACGTCACCGCTCGAGAGAGAGGGGGGCGGGGCGAGCGATGGCCGCAGTCACGTGGTTACCATGGGGGGGGCGAGTGGTGACGTCACCATCAGCGAGCGTGGGGTGGGGGGAGGTCACGTGGTGTGTGGGGCTTTGTGTGGGAGCAGGGCGAGTCACGTGGTGCTGCCCGGTGTGATGGTTGGAGTTGATGGACAGGGAGCGGCAGTGCGAGCGGGTGTAGCGGCTACGCTGCACTGTCAGCACCGGCGACGATTATCTGAACCGGTCCTGGGCATCCCCTAGGTCGACTCGGCCTCAAATTAGTAACCCGGTGCGGTGTGTAAACATCGCCACTGGGGAGACAAAGGCGGCCGGGCGTGGTGTTGGTCACCCACCCCCCTCGTGTGCCGTGCCTGCCTTCATAGGTGCTCGCTAACAGCACTTGCCCCAACAGTCTGTTAAGGCTACACGGGGGATCTTTGTTTTTTTGTTGTTGCACCGAGCATGGCATTAGCGCCGTGGGACGTCACCGCCACTTAGTGGTGAACAGCGGTTGTTGTTGATAGTGGTTGGAGAGTGATGGTGGTGGTTTTGGTGGTTGTTCGCGATCGTGATTTTGATGATGGTAATTGCAGTGATCACAGGTTGCATCGTGATGGTGGGGATGGTGATGGCTATTGTAATAGCGGTCACGATGAAGGTGGTTGCATTGATGGCGACGGTTGTAGTGATGCAATCACGATGATTCTAGACAGGGCTTCATTTCAGCAGGAGCTGTCCGGTGCTAAGGCTCCGGAAAATATCCCACGGGAAATGAATCATTGGTTTAGTGGCCACCGTGAAAGCGATTGTGGGAATAATGGTTCGAGTGATGGTATCGAGGATGGTATTTGTTGAGAGAGTTATCGGCGACGGTGATGCTGGTGATTGTGGTGATAGTGACGATCTGGACAAAGTCCCATCGGTGAGCGCCTCCGGCAGGCAAGGCTGCGTTGGCTGGGTCATGTAGCCCGCATGCCCAGTCACCGCATGCATAAACAGCTTTTGTTCGGCCGGATCGAGGGGGCTAATCGGGCGTGGCACGGGCTAGAGAAGAGATGGAGTGATGTGGTACAGGAGGACGTGGAGCTGAGTGGACTTGCCGATGACTGGTACCAGCGGTGTCAAGATCGGCCTCTGTGGAGGAGGCTCGTGAAGGACGCTACTTGGCAGTTGGAGGCAGTCGCCCTCCAACAACAACGGAGGGCGGAGGAGCGACGCTCACAACAACGAGCGGAGTGCCGGGTGGCTAAAGCACAGCAAGTTAGCACAGTAGGGGGCACAGGTGGTGCATCAGCCAGTCATCTCGGTCATCTCAGTCAGTCGACCCGTGGCACCTGGGTCTGCCCCGTGACCTCCTGCCAGCGGGCGTTCGACACTTCACGTGGCCTCAAGGTGCACATGGCCTGGCACAAGCGTCGTGGTGACGTCACCGCCACTTAGTGGCGAATGGCGGTTGTTGTTGTTGTGGTGACGATGGTGGTTCTCGCGGTGAGTGACCGTGGTGGGTGACTATGGCGATGGCAATCGTGGGGGACCACACTGATGACGATGGTGATCTTAATGACGGCGGCTGGTGATGATGGTGGCGATGAAGATTATCCGACGGTCATGCGTTGCGTTGGATGATGGTGGGTGTGGTGAAGTAATCATCATTGCGGTGCAGATGATAGTGATGTCACAGCGCCATCTGGCGCCAATAATCACAAAGCAATAAGCTAAGTCATCCATTATATAGGGTTTTTTTCCCCCTTCTTTGTCCAACATAAACGGATATATGTTTACACATCCCACAAGCGGCCTCCCCGAGGGGTGCTGTACATTCGGAAGGATTGGTTCAACGCAAAATTCTGGAGCGATGTCGACGTTGGTCGGAATCTAACCAAGTCGTCAGGATCATAGCGTAGACTGTACTAAGGGGCCATCCATTTAGTACGCACGCATGGAGGGGGGTTAACCCAAATGCGTAGCTTGCGTATGGGGGGGGGGGGGTCTACTGACAATGTACGCATATGAAACGGGAAGGGGGGGGGGGGGTGAAGCCTCGATAATAATGTGTCTACATTGGCCTTCAAATGAGTTAGATAGTCCGGCGGTGGACTATCTGTTTGCTTAAACACGTCAATATTATTAATCCTTGATCGTTTATACGTGGATCAAATATCGGCCGTTCTATAGGATTCAGTGGGGGGGGGGGGGTGCGTCAAGCCGTACGTACGCAGGTTGGGGGGGGTAAAAAGTCCGCGTGCGTACAGGGAGGGGTCAGGTTTTGACAGATTTTTGCGCACCTACTCAATGGATGGCCTCTAACGCTGCAGACCATAACGCCACACTCGCCACTGGCCAAAAGCCGTCTCACGATTTTAATTCCGCACTGCGCCACGTGCGGGGTGACGCCACGCACACGTCAGTGGCGTTACTACCCCAATTAGTCCAATTGATGAGTGGGCAAGTGTGTGTGCGTGTGGTTTAGCGAGATGGGCGGTTTCTTTAATGAATCTAATTGGAGTAAAGTGGCTTTCTCGGTTGAGGCATTTCTGAGTCAAATGAGGCCAAGTGAGACGGGGCAGAGGGGTCGAGGCGGTGCTGACGGGACGCGCCAGTTGCAGGATGGTGGTGGTGGCGACGAGCGGTCGCGGGTTCAAGACAAAGGTCACGAGCGAGGGATGAGGTCGGGAGCGGAGTGTGGACTGGCCGTGGTGGGCGCGATACGGGCACAACGCTCGATCCCCTTACACGCTGGGCACACACAGGGAATTTCCCACACGAAACCCGCCGATTGACAAAAAATGAAAACCACGTTGCACTTGTGTCGCCGGGTTCGTACCGCAGTGCGCTAACCACGACACTGCCGCTCACCGCACACGAGGCATAGATTCCCCGTATAGCCTCAAGACAGACTTTTATGGGAAGTGCTGTTAGCGAGCACATATGAAGGGGAGGGGGTGGGTGGCCAGCACCACACCCGGCCGCCTTTGTCTCTTGAGCAGCGATATTTACACATCCCATCAGGTATTTATTGGAGGCTGAGTGGACCTAGGAGAGGCCCAGGACCGGTTCCAATAATCGTAGCTGGTGTCAGCCATGTGCGGAAATCCAACTCGGGTCGCGGGGTTCGTTGCGCAGTGCGCTAACCACAACGCTGCCGCTCCCCACACACACAGACAAACTTAGTTCACACACAGACGCACAGAAACCACTAATGTTCACAAACACACACCAGTTGGGCTTCGACCAACAATGTAGTCGCAACAGCGCGCCAATTGTCGCGCCGCAGTAATACAGACGCTCGTCCACATCCGCTCGCCAGTCTCTCACCAAAGTGTTGCACGCGACGAAAAAACGATCTCCACCAAGGGTTTTTTTAATCCCTTTTGAAATCAGTGCGTCGCACAGCAGTGCGACTTACAAATAAGACATTACAAACGTTATTCGATCACACAGATTCGATATAAAAATTTAGGAGCAGCATGATTTTAGTACATTTTACAACAACAAAAAACCCGAGTGTTAAAATTACTTCATACCCACTGGTCACCACAAAACTATTATAAATCCACCAGAAATACTTAAGTTTTAGTGTTAAATTAGTCAGCGTTTTAGTCTCGTCCAGTCGGACAACCCTCGGAATTTATGTCAGGTCAGTCTGTGCATTTCATTTCAGCATTTTTGTATTTTAATGACCACAGGAAATCCAGACTAAAACTTGACAAATTCCACAAACTGTTGTTGACCAGACTGAGACGAAAAAGACAAAACACACTGACTAAACTAACACTGCGATTCAAAACGAGCACAGCTACGGCTGCGCGGGGTAATCTGCGGCGATGCCAGTACCTGGACAAATCCCTCGCGAGAACAAGGGGAAGAAAGCTCGGATAACTCGACGATGTGGTCCCAGGATCTTAGTGGTATCCATTCAGTGGCTCTGGCCATGTCAACGCCACTGAATGGAGACCATGAGAGAGAAACCCGGCTTGAGTTTTAAAAACTACGACTGCAGTGACGAGGGCACAGAGCCAATGGCCCCGGCCATTATGGGCCACCGTCCACTTCATCGCAGCGTTTAGATGCAACAGCAGCACTCTTCATCCGAGGGCAGGCGGTGCTGTGGGCTACCTTCTTCACCTCGCCATCCACTACTTTTATCTTCCAACGCCTTTTTAAATCCTTTATATTAAGTTCACTTGCTTGCTTGCTTGCGCGCTTACGACCGTGCAAATCTTTCGTCGTTTTTTAACCCACTTCCCGTGATCCGATCGAGCTGACATTTTCCACACAGACTCGTTGTGCGTGACAATTAATTTTCCTGAAAGAAAAGTTTCCAAAATTTTACACTTTTTAGGGGGAAAAAAATGATATTTAATTACCAATTGCTTAATGGTGGCAGGCAATCATCTGACCCATAGGTGGCAGCCATCTCAAGCCAGAGGACGAGAGGACTCTGGCCGCCACGCATATAAAGGATTTATAGTGAAAAACTTTGTTTTTACGGGTTAATTTTATTCACCATCTCATTCACCTCCTCATGATCAACTATCTCCCTCCAACCCCTCTCATCTGCCACCTACACCAGCCTCTTCCTTCCCCCACCTCTTATACTATCTCTCCCACCTCTTTATATTCTGCCGGATCTGTTACCGATCATCTCTTGAATCTCTCCTACCATCTTTATCTCCATCTCATCTACCCCATTCACCTCCATTTTCTCATTCAATCTTCCTGCTCCATCACCTCTTACACCGCTCCCTCTTCCTCCACCAGCACTACCTTCACCATCACCTCCATCACCCCCCGCCCTCCTCCTCCTCTTTGCTGGATTCACCATTTGGCTGCCACCTCCTCCTCCCACTGTCACTTGCGCTTGAGTTTGCCGGTGGCGCCAGCCCCAGCCGAGGGACCGGCGAAATCGGCGCGGGTCTGCACGCTGCACAGCTGGCTCCAGGCGTCCACGATGAGCACGAGCGGTAGCACGATCCACAGCGCGTTCATGAAGACGAAGTAGAACCAGAAGTAGAGCGGGTGGCCCGGCTCGCTATGCTGGAAGCCGCTGCGAAACTCCGTGCAGAAGTACAGCACGTCGCCGTACAGCTGCCCTGGGGGCCACAGGCGAGACGGTGACGTCGTCAACAACGCAGCAGTGACGCGGCGGCGGCAAAGGGCAGAGCGTGAAGATAACAGTGATAGAACAGGGCAGTAGGGGCGGGGGGACCTGTGTCCGGTAATTTCGTTTCATGCGACTTCATTACACATGGCCCATGACCGTTTTAGGCCTACCTCTTTGACACGGTCCATTATGATGTGCGTCTGTCACTGCGAGTACCATCTCTCCTTGACTCCCAACCTTCCTCCTCCTCCTTTCTCTCCTTCCCTACCTCATTTCCCCCCTCCTCTGCCTCCCTCGCTTCCCTCTCTCCCTTAAAGTCACCGACGTCCCTTCTCCCTCCCCTTCCACTCCCTCCCCATCCGTCGCTCCCTCCCTCCCCATCTCCTTCCTCAACTTCCTCCCCCTCCTCTCTCGACCCCCCCCCACCACCCCCACTTGAAGCGAGCCGGCCAAGGTGAGCTCACCGAGCGACACCACGAGCTGCAGCACAAATCTCTCGGGCCGGTTGTGCACGAACGCCATCACGGTGAAGGCGCTGAGCGGGCCCCACGCCAGCGCCGTGATGCTCTCCATGCACACGGTGAAGTTATCCGAGCTGCAAACAAGACAAACGCAGGTTCACCCGGCGGTTAGTGGGATGCGCCTATTAATCTTTCCCATTTTGATGACGTACATGTAAAATAATGTAATTGTACGTCTTTAGATCGGAAGGCGTACTGAGGCTCCCCACAAGGCCATGCGGCGAGGGGCGCGTGGCGCAGTTTGCCGCCAGCTATCGTAGCGTGCGGTCGTGTCACTACGGTTCTCTACGGTGAGTACAATATCTTTAAAAACAATGGCGCTATGCCCCTCTAAGTAAAATTAGTGCTGAGTCGCTCGCACGTTCCGAGATTCAGGGGCGAATAGGACCCACCCTGCAACTTGCAGACGTGAGTTTCACAAGAGTGGCTGGGTGGCGCTGAAGTCGGAACGTTGAGCCGACGCTGCTGATATCCTGGGTGCGAATCAGAGTTCCAGCCGCCTGTGATTAAACCTCGTCTCAACGTGTAGGGAATGGTCTCAGCCCACTCACCAATAAAAAAAAACCCATCCCATTATATTTCTAGCTCTGAGAAAAATATCGGCTTGACTTTTGTCGTGCAACGGACATTCCTCTCTGATGTGGAGCGTGTGGGTAATTACTGCACCCTGCTACTGCGTCCACCAGAGGTCACTTGAAGACCTCTGAGGCAGAGCTCTATGAAATCCACTTTTGCGGGCCATTCCGTAGCATAAAGGGTTGCACTGCTGTGCCTGAATTTCGCCAAATTATTGCGCAGAGACAATTTATAGCAGCCAAATACTCAAATCAATGGACGTTTCTAGATGTGGAGGGAAAAACCGGAGGACCCGGAGAAAAATCCACACGACCACAGGGAGAACACACAAACTCCAAATATACAGCAGGCTTCATGGTCGGGATTGAACCCACGACCTCCTATATACCAGGCGAGTGTAGTTAACATCTTGACACTGTAGCGCCCATCACACGCGGCTGAAACCCGGATTGAGGCCCAGGGGTCTTCGTGCTACCGGCTAATCGCTCTGGCCACCCCGAAGCTACCTGGCCACCTCCCCTGGCAAACCGAATTTTGGTTCAAACTTTTCTCAAGCTGGTGGTGGTGTTCCAGAGGAGTGGACGATGAATCCGTCCTGTTGTACTCACGTTATGTATCTGCTGTCTCCCTTTGAATATTCCTTCCCTGGGAAAATAACAACAGCGCAGAGACACACAGTGAGACGCAGATACACACTGCAGAGACCCAGAGACACGTCAAAAAAGATACACAATAAGACCGAAACACACAGGCATGTACAGACACACAGAGACACATGGACACACAGTAAGACAGAGACACACCCAGGCTTGCACAGACACACAATGCGAAACAGTGAAATATACAGACATGCACATACGCACACAGACACACACACAGGCAAAGTCAGACACTGACACTAGTGAAACACACAAACCCTTCATGTTGCAGAACCGTATATTTCAGAGCTACCTGAGACCCCTTAAAGTCATCTCAAGTCCACAGACTTGAGTTATGTTCATCACATGGCAGTGTTAGAATTTAGCCAAATCAAATGCAAGGCCAAAGTTACTGTCATGTACTTTTAACGTGCAATTATTGGTGACCGGGCCAATACCATCACCCCTCTACACTAGAGAAGCAGTTTGTTTTAATCGCAGGTGGTTGAAACTTGGACTTAAACCCAGGCTCTCAGCGGTGCCATTTCAATGCTCTGAACTCCCAGCAACCCGAAGGCCGTCTCTCAGCACAAACAGAGGGTTAATCAGACACCCTGAGCTTTGCATTGTGGACTAGGTCAGTCACAGGGCAAAGATAAAACATTGAAGGTTGGGTCACTTTTGAGATAACTCATTTTGAGATAAGACTCGTTTTATCTTCCCTGGCTGAAATGTTGAAAGAATCATGTAAAAAAATAAACCTAGCATCGTATCTTATTAGTGTAATGACGGTTGGCGGATCACACACAGATGTTTCTAGATTTGAAGCTTTCGTGACTGCAAGGATTCATATTCTTAGGTTTTTTCGGTAAAGTCACGTAGGTAAAACATCAAAATTAATAAGATGTTGCGATACTTCTTTCCCGTGTGCGTTGGAGAGCCACCATACCCTGGCTCGCAAGCAGAAGGCGGTACCGCAAAGTTCAGATGAATATATATCATCCGTCCCTTCTGTATGGGATAGAGCGTTGCCCCATCGCACTCATATATTTTCTCCAGGTGCTCCAGTTTCCTCCCACATATGCAAATACTCGTTAATCGGCTGAAAACATGTGAATGTATAGAGGATGGCAGAGCTCGGGCAATTGTTGACAATGGCCCGCAGCCTGGCTGCTCCCCTCCAGCTTGTCCGAGGGACCTCAGCGATTGTGTGGCGCAATTTTCACGCACAACGACGCTCCTGGACATCTGTGAAAAAGAGCTTTCTAGCTCATCGGATTCCTCCAGTGTAAATATTGTGATAAAAAACTGAATAACCATGGGTAATCTTCTTGGTTCTTTCGGTAAAGTCACGTAGATTGGAAATAATAAAATAATAATAAATTTTACATAATAAAATAATTCCGACGATTCGGCCACAACGCAAGACAGACCTGTTCTTCACCTGAGGACGGTTGCTTGCGTTGTGGCCGAAACGTCGCGAGAATTATTTTATTGTTTTTTTATTATTTTATTATTTCCAATCTACGTGACTTTACCGAAAGAACCAAGAAGATAAATCCCTGCAGTCACGAAAGCTTTAAATCGAAATTTAACCTTGGGTAAAATACGATTCTCTTCCTGCAACTGCCAGAGATGACAGTCGTGTCTATGCTGTTGCCTTCACGCTGATGTCCTGACTGGATTGGTCTTTGCCAACCTGTAGCTGGGCATGGCTCACCACCGAGCTATTATTAATGGGTTTATATACCACGTAAAACCCCCTTTGGTCGGTCCACAATCCACGTGGCCAGTCAGCTTCAAAGGCAATGCGTATTTTATATTATCGGAGCATGTTCGTTCGCCCGTTCACCACAAGCACGCAAGACGCGATTCCTTGCAAATGCTTTCTATTTGGTGTTTGAACACCTTAACAACATATCCACTCTTGGTACCTCATTTGCCAGTAAAAAATATGATAATTGTTTTTTTACCCTTTTATCTGGCAACAAAACTGACACCTTAATTAACATGACTCCTCGTAAAAAAAGGTGTCAGTTTTGTTGCCAGATAAAAGGGTAAAAAACCAATTATCATATTTTTACTGGCAAATGAGGTACCAATGGTGTAAATGCTTACCCCGAGCTCTCATACTCTGATGGTGCATTGTCTTTTGAGTTGTGCACCTTTTGGCGTCATCTGGTCCGACACCATGTGAGACTAGGCTCTAAGGAAAGCTGTCTCGGGTGTGGACCAATCAACTTCAAGGACAGTGCATACATTATCAGAGTTGAGTTTTTTGTTTGCATTATGACTGCAGGTATTGTGGTCTATGCAAACATGACTCCTCGTAAAAAAGGTGTCAGTTTTGTTGCCATATAAAAGGGTAAAAAACCAATTATCACATCCACTCCAGCCGGACTGTGATAACCTGGCGCTGTCACTCACGACGACCACTGTCCACCAAGATCTGACGAGAGTGACTTTTGTCAACGAGGCAAGAAGGTTCCAAAGATTGCAGAGTCCTACAGGAGGGAGATGACAACATATGCGGCTGGGGGTGGGGGGCGGAGATGGAGTTCCAGCAGCCAGTGAGTGAATCTATTATCTCATTCCCAACGACTGGGAATTCCACATTCCCTGGCCGAGACGCCTCGAGTCCATCCACGCGACCATGTCGACCAATGTTTTTACCTCGGCGATGAATTGAGATTCCACAATCACGTGGCAGCCCCCCGCCGAGACTAAGTGCGGCGGACAACTAGGTAACAACACCGGCACAAAGAGCTTTATAGCTCAGTGGATTCCTTCGGTACGATTTTTTTTAAATGTTGTGATTCTGACACGGCCACTCACAGAGCTGCGAGAGGAGCGCCCTTGTCACATCACAGCTGACCGCACCACCGTTTACCTCACGAGTGACTCAGATTCCACATTCGCATGACAGCCCCCACTACCTTACCGAGACTAAGTGCAACAACAACAACAAAACAACAACAAACACGAGGCTTCCTAAGCATCTCCCCCGGAGGTGGCCTCACAGAGCTGCGAGAGTAACGTCCTTGTCACATCACAGCTGACTGCACCACCGTTTACCTCACGAGTGACTCAGATTCCACATTCGCATGACAGCCCCCCACTACCTTACCGAGACTAAGTGCAACAACAACAACAAAACAACAACAAAACAACAACAAACACGAGGCTTCCTAAGCATCTCCCCCGGGGGTGGCCTCACAGAGCTGCGAGAGGAGCGTCCTTGTCACATCACAGCTGACTGCACCACCGTTTACCTCACGAGTGACTCAGATTCCACATTCGCATGACAGCCCCCCACTACCTTACCGAGACTAAGTGCAACAACAACAACAACGACAACAACAAAACAACAACAACAAACACGAGGCTTCGTAAGCATCTCCCCGGGGGTGGCCTCACAGAGCTGCGAGAGGAGCGTCCTTGTCACATCACAGCTGACTGCACCACCGTTTACCTCACGAATGACTCAGATTCCACATTCGCATGACAGCCCCCCACTACCTCCCGAGACTAAGTGCAACAACAACAAAACGACAACAACAAAACAACAACAACAAACACGAGGCTTCGTAAGCATCTCCCCGGGGGTGGCCTCACAGAGCTGCGAGAGGAGCGTCCTTGTCACATCACAGCTGACTGCACCACCGTTTACCTCACGAGTGACTCAGATTCCACATTCGCATGACAGCCTCCCCTCCTTACCAAGACTAAGTGCAACAACAACAACAACGACAACAACAAAACAACAACAAACACGAGGCTTCCTAAGCATCGTCCCCGGGGGTGGCCTCACAGAGCTGCGAGAGGAACGCCTGGTCCCCCGCGATGTCCCGGTGGAAGAGCGAGAACCAGCCCTCGATCACGCCGTGGATGAAGGCGCACACGGCGAACCAGCAGCAGACGAGGCGTCGCATCGACGAGAGCCGATGGCGCGAAGACCCCGCGTACAGCCATGTCGCCGCCACCAGGACACCTGAGGTGACGAACAGAAACGCCAGCACCGTGCTGGTGGCGGTGTCGTTCGCCACGTAGCCCGGGATGACGAGGTCGCGGGGCCAGTACGGGTGACGGGGGGCTGAGGGAACGGCCATGGTCGAGTTGGTTGTTGTTGTTCGTTCGTTCGTCGTCGTCGTCGTCCCGCGCTGCTGTGGCGGTTGGCGGCGTTTCCCGCCCTTTTTAAACCGCCGCGGAGATTGGAAGTTGAAGCCGGCGGTCGGCCATCTTGGCACGGGACGGCACCGTGCTAACGAGTGTTGGCGCGAGTATTTTATATGTGAATAAATATGACTCCCGTTATATTACGGGAGTGTTTTCGAGGAATGGCGTTGTTGCTCTTTTTTTAATTGATTTTATTCGTGCGCAACCGCCAACGTTAGTGTAATAACGTAATTTTTTTCACCCAATTTTACAAGCACAGTAACGTTATGTCATTCCGTACAAATCTTCAACGTAATATTTTTAACACATCTTCATCACCCACTTGGCTTTCTGGGACTGCTTAATTGCGAGCAGCGTTGTGCAACGCGTTCAAAAACTCCGAATGGGTTTTTGAACACTCGGACTCATCAACCATGGTCAGATTGTAACTCTCCCTACCCAGCATGGCTACCACGACGCCACGTTTTGTGACGTCATTCTCCCAAGGGAGGGTGTGTCAGGGAGAAGGTGCGTGCACGCGATTGGCTGATTCCCCACAGGCCCCGCCCCCTGGTCACGCTAAGGTGGGGAGGGGGGACGGTACGTGCACGCGATTGGCTGATGCCCCACAGGCCCCGCCCTCTGGTCACGCTAAGGTGGGGAGGGGGGACGGTACGTGCACGCGATTGGCTAATTTCCCACAGGCCCCTCCCCCTGGTCACGCTAAGGTGGGGAGGGGGGACGGTACGTGTACGCGATTGGCTGGTGCCCCGAACCCCCCCCCCCTACCACGCTCAGGTGGGGAGGGGAGGAGGTGCGCGTACGCGATTGGCTGGTGCCCCGCAGGCGTCGCGCGAGCGCGCCTCGACCAATCGCGAGCACCGCTCGCAATGACGCGTCACCGACGGGAATGCGGCGGTGAGGTCACAACGTTCGATTTGGAAGCTCGCCCTCTGATTGGACAATCGCGGTGGAACCACGAGCGCTTAGATTCTTGGGGGTTTCACGGCTCCATGTGATACTGGGAGGAACCTCCTGGTCACACCAGCCCACAGGGGATTATTGTGTCCGTCGTGCAGGGAGGGGCTGGGTGGGGAGGGAGGGGCTGGGTGGGGAGGGGAGGATGGGGAGGGGAGGGTGGGGAGGGGCTGGGTGGGGAGGGTGGGGCTGGGTGGAGAGGGGAGGGTGGGGAGGGGCTGGGTGGGGAGGGGCTGGGGAGGGAGGGGCTGGGTGGGAAGGGAGGGGCTGGGTGGGGAGGGGAGGGTGGGGAGGGGCTGGGTGGGGAGAGGGTGGGGAGGGGCTGGGTGGAGAGGGTGGGGAGGGGCTGAGTGGGGAGGGTGGAGCTGGGTAGGGAGGGAGGGGCTGGTCACCCCGTGGTGCCCTTTTAAAACTCAACGTTTAACCTACTCACGCCGGCTTGTGCCCGCCCTCACAGTCGGACATATTTGCGGAATACACCACGCCGCCGTTGACCCTGCAGGCCATTGACCGAGCAACCCAACATTCCTACCAGCTCCCTCCGCAGGACAATGTGTTTCCAAAGGGCGAATATTAATTCAACAGCGGAGTTAGTCACCTACTAGTCACCCTATTATTATATTTTTGATTACATACTGCATACACTATCATGTAATTGCAATAATGATTACACTATGTAACACGATTTTTGTTCCTGGGTAGTAAGTGTTATTTCTAATTGCGTATGCCTCAAAAGTATAGAAAATGGCTGTTATTACCCACAAACTTTGCTTTTGTGACCAGGACGTTATGTGAAGGAATAACACAAATGAACACCACTTTTTAAATCCTTTATATTAAGTTCACTCGCGCGCTTGCTTGCTTGCTTGCTTACGACCGTGCAAATCTTTCGGTCGTTTTTAAACCCACTTCCCGTGATCCAATCGAGCTGACATTTTTCACACAGACTCGTTGTGCGTGACAATTTATTTTCGTGAAAAAAAAATTCCAAAATTTTAGACTTTTTAGGAAAAAATAAATTATATTTAATTACCAATTGCTTAATGGTGGCAGGCATTCATCTGACCCATAGGTGGCAGCCATCTCAAGCCAGAGGACGAGAGGACTCTAGCCGCCACGCATATAAAGGATTTATAGTGAAAAACTTTGTTTTTACGGGTTAATTTTTTTTTTATCTTACCAAGTGAAGCCAACTGAACTTTTTAGCTTATTTTTCAGAAGCGACCTGGCCACGAATAATTATCGCTCAACGAAGTGGCTCACCGCGCGCAAATATTTATCTCAGTAAAAACACATTGTCCTGCGGTGGGAGCTGGTAGGAACGTTGGGTTGCTCGGTCAATGGCCAGGGTCAACGGCGGCGTGATGTATTCCGCAAATATGCCCGACTGTGAGGCAGAGGTCGCAAACGGGTTTTGATTCCTTACCCGTACCCGGCCGCACCAGGGTTGCAAATGGGTACCCGTACCCGGCCACGGGTACCCGTTCCCTACCCGTACCCTACCCGAAATGAGTGACAAACGGTGACTCACCAGTGACTCACGGCCTACCCGTACCCTACCCGAAATGAGTGACAAACGGTGACTCACCAGTGACTCACGGCCTACCCGTACCCGTACCCGGCCGCACCAGGGTCGCAAACGGCTACCCGTACCCGTACCTGGCCGGGTACGGGTAGCCGGGTATCGGGTAGGGTACGGGTATCGGGTACCCGGTTGCGACCTCTGCTGTGAGGGCGGACACAAGCCGGCGTGAGTAGGTTAAACGTTGAGTTTTATAACGGCACCACCGGGTGACCAGCCCCTCCCCACCCAGCCCCACCCCTCCCACCCCCCACCCAGCCCCACCCTCCCCACCCAGCCCCTCCCCACCCTCTCCACCCAACCCCTCCCCACCCTCCCCACCCAGCCCCTGCCCACCCTCCTCTCCCCACCCAGCCCCTCCCTCCCCACCCAGCCCCTCCCTGCACGACGGACGGACGGACACAATAATCCCCTGTGGGCTGGTGGAACCAAGAGGTTCCTACCAGTATAATGTAAACAATGTCAACGCTTGTTGATTTAAAAAAGTGGAGGGAAAAACCGGACGACGCGGAGAAAAATGCACGCAACCACGGGGAGAGAGAAATGCAACAGCAGGCATAGTCGGGGTCGGGATCAAACCCACGGTATCCTGCATACCAGGCGAGGGAGTTAAGGTCTCCTAACCACAACAACAGCAGCAGCCGTTCGTTGTTTCGTGACGACGTGTTCGTTCGCTGGCGGCGGTAGTGGAGGAGGTGTTAGTCGTAGTTGTAGTGATAGCGTTGGTGGTGGTGGTGGAGCAACAGCACCGCTACACCAATAGTGTTTCTGTAGAGCGACCCACATGCGTTGAGCAGTTGGGTAGTCCGACAATTCGGTGGTAGTTTTCAGCCAGCATCATCGGCGCTTACAGATGCGCGTCTGCGGCCGTCTGGAACGCTCTTTCGATATTAGTAAATCCCTGGGAGCGATGCACTTTCAAATCATCTCGATTGAAAACGAATTTCTTTAAAAACAGTTTTTTTGTGTGTGTGTTTAGTTTTAGACTTGAAGCTTTCGTGACTGCAAGGAATCATATTCTTAGGTGTTTTCGGTAAAGTCACGTAGGTAAAACATCAAAATTAATAAAAATAATAAAATAAAAATAAAGATCACGACGTTTCGGAGGCAACACAAGTCTCCGTCATCAGGTGGGACAGTCACAGCCAGATCAGCTGCATCAAATGAGGCAATGATTTTGATGAGCCCCCCCCCTCTCCTCCCCCCCTCAACTCGCTTTTAAGGGATTACATCTTGAATCATTGCCTCACTTGATGCAGCTGTGACTGTCCCACCTGATGACGGAGACTTGTGTTGCCTCCGAAACGTCGTGATCTTTATTTTTATTTTATTATTTTTTATTAATTTTGATGTTTTACCTACGTGACTTTACCGAAAACACCTAAGAATGTGTTTAGTTTGTTGTAATTCCTCCCTAAACTTATATTGCCACGGTTGGTTACGTAGGGTGCGAAATAAGTTCAACATCCACGCGAGGTGATGTCATCAGCGTAACTCACAAGGGTTAGAGCTGGGAGTGGCACGAAGTGATACCAAGAGCTCAACGTATTTGTATAAATAGTTTGTTCTACTTAAACTAAATGTTAGATATTGCAACACAGTACAAAGGAACATGTGCTGTACTTACGCGATGACAGATTTAATTGCACTACATGCTTATGTTACATCATAATACATTAATACGCGCTACACATATGTACGTGTAAGTGCACTTCATTATAGCTATACTCGATGGGGAGTAATGCGACAACAATGATCGATTACTTTCGAGCGACGTGAATGCACTTTTCAGTGACGTACTTAAAGTGGCATTTCCAAACCGGATACACTCTGGGGCTGTGAGCTCGGTTGAAACTAATTTTGTTTTTAAATCGCTCGCGTGATTCAACGGATTCTCTCATCAGCCCTGGCCACTGAGAAATTATTTTTTTTCGCGTAGAACCAATACCGGATGAAGCTTGTGCGGGATCTGTAGAATATGTTATAAAGGGGCCATGAACTTAAAGAAAAACGTTAATATTAAAACACACATTTTTAACTTGCACAGTAAAGTAAGCGATCGCTTGCGTTGTGATCGAAACGTCGTAGTTTTTTGTTATTTTCTTTGCACCATCGACGTGACTTTACCGAAAGACCCAAAGAATATGAAATTCCTGCAGTCACGAAAGCTTTAAGTCAAGTCAAGTAAGTGTATTTTTTTTCATTTGCTATACAGCCAAATAATACGACAAATCACTAACCTTAAACACCCAGTCGTTCATAAAAGTTGAAGGCGGTATAGTACTATAGTAATAAACTGCAGAATCACTGAACCGGAATTAATAGCTTGAAAGCATTTAGCGCGGGGCCCTTGAAAGTGCGGAGTCCGTAGCATATGAAGCTACTTTTGTTACCATGATAATCAGGCACTGCATAGGACACCAACGTTATCAAAATCCATGAAATATCCTTGTTGTTGGCAAGCAT